CCAAATAGGATAAAGTGCTAAAGCACTGATTACTGGATGTCAGTTTGTGCTTTTGACTTCTTATTGCAGAGAAACTAAGGATATTTGGGTCTGTCAGTAAACATGCTCTGTGCTTAACTGATTCATAAATTTGCTGTCTAAAGAGTTTTGGTATACCAGTTCACAATTTGTTACTACTTAGCTTTCACTGGAGACTAAGGTTTCTAAGAGTTAAAATTTTGCTAAATATAATTAAGACTGATGGAAATAAGGGAAGCAACTCTGAATGAAAAAGTTGTAGGTCTGTTGTAGGAAAATCTCTGGAAAGGAATTTTACATGTGGTCAAGACAGACTAAGATTAAAATGAAGGGATTTTTTTTAAAAATTTTATTTATTTATTTGAGAGAGAGAGAGAGCCAGCGCAAGCAGGGGGGAGGGGCAGAGGAAAAAGAGAGAGACGCAGACTCCCCACTGGGCAGGAGCCCTGATACTGGGCTCATCCCAGGACACTGAGATTATGACCTGAGCCAAAGGCAGACACTTAACCAACTGAGCCACCCAGGCACCCCTAAAATGAAGGGATTTTAAAAGTACATGGGCATAAGATTGAAACTTGCTTTTCTCTCTGTTAAAAAGACAAAGTTTTCTTGAATTAATTGGTGTGCTGTTGATAAGAAAATGTAAACAAAGGTTTTATTCTCTTTTGCCTGCCCAGAAAACCTGTTTCTATGTGTTGTCTTTATCAGGTCTTTGATCACTTAGTTAAAACTTCTCAATCTTAAAGGAGTTAAGTTTTGCCAACTCCATTCAACTCCAAAATGGAAGCAAAATTGAGCCACCCTGGCACCCCACTTTGAGGTTTTTTTTTTTAACAAACTTCCCAAGATTTAAATTGGAAATAAAGTCTCTTTCACTCATTAGGCCTTCTTATTAGTATGTTATTCTGGAAGCACGTTAAACAAATAATAAGCCTTAGGTTACATTTGGGTAAATGCTATAACCATTCTAGAGACGATATGCAGTTCTAAAGTTTTAATATGTTCTGGTATGAGGCCATTACTTAATATTCTGATTACTGAACAGAAATAACCAAATTTCCTTGCCAGCTATGGTTGTAACCTCTTATCAGATCTTTAACCATGTCCACTTTTGAGTCTTTTTTCATTTATAGTTATTGTTCTTATTCTCTTGCAAAACGTATTTCATCTTCAAGGAGAATCATAAAAAGGGCTTTTGATAAATACAGGTTTTTTATATCTTTAAGATCATAAAATTGAAATGGTTAAGAATTTCCAGAACTAACTAAACTGAGGATGATTATAGTTTGACTCTTGTTTAAAGCTTTGCAGGTTCTTTAATATTTGTACTTCCAGACTAAGGAAACTTTCTCTTAAGATATCTATGATACAGAAAAATAAGATAAATATTCCTCTGAACAAACGGAAGCCTTTTACTTATCTGAACCCTCTGAAATTCAAAAGGTCTCCGAAAAGTATTCTCTCTTCCATGGCAATTACAGTCACTTGCCTAAGTTCAGTAAGAATGTGTTCTCCTTGTAACAGGACACCACTGGAAACAGTGGTTATTTTACCAAGGCTTTGACTGGGATGTCATATTTGAGAGAGACTGGCATCGACTCAGATATGACCAGACAGCTTTAAGAAACTAAGATTGACTTTATGAATCATGGAGCCAATAGAGCCCCTTGGAACTGCTGGCCTGATAGCTTGCTTACAGAGTTCCCAGCAGCCTTACCAGGTGAGTAAAGAGTATCACGTCCTGGCAGGTGCAGGAACCTCTGGATACTTTGAGGATCTCAAAAAGAGGAATTTGCCCAAATCTACAGGTATTGCAGGCATGTCTGGCAAGCACTTGGCTTGGCTTCTGGCCTCGGGAGTCTACTAAAAGTTAAACGTAGAGATTCCTTTTAAAAAGTTCCAGCAAAGCAAACTGTAAAAGATCTCTATGATCACTCACTATTCTTGTTGAGCTTATGTAAATCATTAGGCCAAGTCTGTTAAAACTGGACTTGTTTTACAAACAAAATAGTCCTGATATGGCTATCTCTGATTAAAAATGAAAATATTTCAATAACACATTTTTGTAGATACTAGATTTTAAGCATTGAGACTCAAGAAAATTGGATTACTCTTTTACCAGCAGGGCTTCTCCGAATGAGGATTGCCCCAAAACAACCAATAGGGTTAAGTCCTTTTGAGTTACTATATGAAAAACCTTTTCTCACTGTAAACCTATCAATAGATGGAGACTATAATGCTTTGTTACATTATTCTCTTGAGGCTGGGTTATATTCATAAACCTCTAAATGAATATGCAAACCATGTCCTCCCTAAACCTCACCTGACAGTCACTAGCAACCTACCCCATATAAACCCTGGAGGCAGGGTTTATTTAAAGGACTGGAAGTCTAATACAGCTGGGGATTTAACTCCAAAATGGAAGGGCCCCTACCGGGTCATATTATGCACTCCCACTGCAGTAAAATTAGAGGGGCACTCTTCATGGACTCACATATCTAGAATAAAACCTGTATTTCCTTCACAGGAAACCAATGAGCAAACTCTAGCATGCCTTTTTATTCCTGTGAACCTGTGAAAACCTCAAATTTCTTTTCAAATGACAATAAAGGACTGGAGGAAAATTTTAGTTAACTATCAGAGGTCCTTTTACTCGGAGTTCTCATTCTCATTATAATATTAACCTTCTTTTGTTGTCTCTTTCGGTGTCTTCCTGCCTGGTGCCAAGACTCCTTCACTACCGTAACTTCTAGCTGACAGGATGATCCTTTCTACTCAAGGAGGTTCATATATGTTGTCTACCTTGGACTGGCTGCCTTGGCCTTTGTAACTCCGATATATATATTCCCCAACTGACCAATGTTGACCCACAAGTAGGGACATCTCTACACCCCTATTAGCAGAAGGAAGTTAAGGAAGATGAGACCTTCCACCCTCAGCAACCTTAAAGATGTAAGGGTCAAACTGTTCAGGGGGGAATGATGTGAGAAACAAAGGCAGAAGGAAATGTAGATAAAATCAGCTGTCCTTATAACCTGCAGCCCACTGACAAATACTTGAGGCAGGCAGAGTAAAAGATCCCAACTGTCTTAATGTTAATGCCTTGCTAGAGGGAAAAACAACCTTGGTTTGACAATAGCAAGGCCTCAGGTTTCCCCAGTCTTCTTTTAGCATATGAAAATCCTTTTGAAACTTCCCTTATCTTTACTTCCCCCCACCCCAAAGTATATCATCAGTTGCTTCTCACAATCCCAGGGCAGCAGCTCCTTCTGCCCATGGGTCCCGTCCCCGTGCTTTAATAAAACCACCATTTTGCACCAAAGACGTCTCAAGAATTCCTTCTTGGCCACTGGCTCTGGACCCCACCAAACACACCAATATCCAGAAACTACATCAGATGCAACCCCATCAATGATGAATGGAGAAGCAAAATGTGGTGTATCTGTACAATGGATTATTGGACAATAAAAATGAAGTACTGAAGCATGCTTTAACATGCACAAACCTTAAAAACGTTATGCTAACAACAATATCCAGAAGACCACACATTATATGATTTCATTTATCTGAAATGTCCAGGACAGGCAATTCTAAAGAGACAAAGTAGATTAGTGGTTGCCAGGGGCTGAAGGGAGGGATGAATGGGGGAGTGACTGCTAATGGATACAGAGTTTCTTTGGGGGATGATTAAAATGTTCTAAAATTAGATTGTGGAGCTAGTTGTACAACTCTTCAGTATATTAAAAACCACCGAATGAGTGCACCGTATGTGAATTTTATCTCAAAACTATTACAAAAAGGAAGAAAACGGGGGGAGGGGGGGTTACGTGTGCTTTCTAACCCCAATGAAAGTTTTGTATACTTTCCAATCAGAAATTTTAGGTCTGTATTGAACATCCTTGCTTGAGGGATTAAAATGGAGGTGGGTGGGGGATGAGGACTTACACTGCATCTTATAATTAAATTAAAATTATCAAAACCCGATAAATCTGTTAAGCCCCGATGGGGCTAGTGGGCATGTCCCCGCAAACAAGATTTAAGGCCAACACTTGCAGTTTTGTTAAGTTAAGCTGCCCTTCCCCTCAGTCTTCAGTTTGTTTTCAGACCCTCTTGTACACCTCTTTTCTTTCACTTTCTTCGAATGACTGTTGTATTCTAAATACAAATGTATCTTCCTGACTGTCTTTCCTTCAGGCAGTATTTTTACCTAATTCGTCAAAGTGGTACCGAAGAAGCTGCTTTTTAAAGTATAATGGACTGAGCTGGGCTCTGTGGCAATGAAAGGCAGTCCCTTTGCTACCAGAACTATTAAAGACATCATAATATTTATGGCACTTCCCCTACATCAGCTCACTTAATTAAAGGCTGTTCACTGTGGGCATGAGGTCATCACAACCAAAAACGAGTGGGGTAGGGAGAGTGAGTATGTTCATGATACTGTGAAACTATTTCTAGAATGAAAGCACTGGCTTTCTAAATGATTGTCCCCCAAAGCTCTAAACATACTTACTAAGTAAGCAAACTTAGAAGATTTTGCACTATGTGTGTATATCTATATTTCTTATCTGAATCCCACTAATGTATTAACAATTCAAAAAAAAAAAATCTTTAAAAAGACCAGGGATAAATTCTGCTTCCCTCAGACACGTATTTTATAAATAAGTATCTGCAAAGCTGCCTTATTCTTAGAAGACCTAAAAAAAATAAGATTCATAGTAAGATGTTAAAATAACTTCCATTTCAATAGGAAAAAGGCTTTAAGGAGGTTCAATATGCATACATTTCAAAAATAAGGCCAAGCTAAAAAAGTAAGAATAAGAGAAAAATTAGGACAAGCTTGGTAGATCACAAGTTAAAATGCAGAAATGCCCAACGTCCACAACAAAACCAGGAAAAAAAGTCAGATTAAGAAAGATGCTTCATAAAAGTGGATACTAACACAAACAAAAGAAAGGCAGAAACGCTAGTTTAAAAGAACCTACAGTTTTCATTGGCATTGAAGCCTCGCAGAATGGCCTTCAGTTCCTGGAGTTTCTGATGAGCTCGTGCATGGACACTGTCAATCAGGAGCTTTTCTATTGATAAGTGATCAATCTGCATAAACAAAAAGAACAGGATCGTATGTGCAATTTAAACATATTTACTTTAAAAGTCTGACAGCAGATTATTGTGTTTCAAGACAGTTCCTTTTAGAATCACACTGATTTTTTAACCAGTAAAAGCAAGCAAGCTTAAAGTTAAAAAGAAATATACAGCAGTATATGGTACTGGTAGCTTAAAGACCACAGCTAACATTTTGGCAAGTACGTATCAAGACAGTATATGTATTGGTTATCAGTGATTAAATGGCAGAACTTCAGAATAAAATGGTGATCTGACCTAAGTTAAAAAATTTGAAGGAACATTTTAAAAATTATATATAACATTAGTTATTAAAAAAATGCAAAAGCATAACATTTGCCTAAAACAAGTTTCATAAAAGGTTTTAGGAACAACTGGGTATTTTAAAGAATTTGTGTTAAAAGTTTTAAGTATAAATATTAAGTTATATATATTCATTTAATCAAAACAGTATTAAAATACATTGAGATCTTTTACCTTCATGGCCCTTTCTACTAATTTGGAATCAGAAGCTGGCAGAGGAGGATCATGAAAAATCTGTAAAGGCTTAGAGACATCATTTTCATCGATTTTAATTGTAACTTTGTGAACAGATGCCGTCCCTGTTTTTCTCCCAAGAACCTGTTGACTAAAGAGAAAAAAAATATTTTCTTTTTAAAAAACATTTATTTATTTGAGAGAGAGCGAGAGAGCGAGCGAGCGAGCACAGGCAGGAGAACAGAGGGAAGAGGGAGAGTGAATCCTAAGCAGACTCTACACTGAGCGCAGAGCCCAACACGGGGCTTGAACTCATGACCCTGAGATCACGACCTAGCCGAAACCAAGAGGTGGACACTCAACTGACTGTGCCACCCAGGCACCCCAAGAAAAAAAGAAATATTAATAAAAATTTTTCCCAACACAGCCTGTTAATTTTTGGAATAAAACAGAAACAATCTATTGTGTACCTTAGCCAGAGCCTAGAACATGACAGGCCCACAGACTATTCTATAATCCAACACAGTATTTGATTTATGTCCTTAAAAAAAAAAAAAAAAAAGACACAGAATTTAAAAACAAAACACATGCACACAAACAAACAAAAATCCCAAAACAAAACAACCTGTGTTCTAAGAGGTGTCTACTAATCTCTGATTCCTTCACAGAAAATGGGAATCAAGCCAAGTTCCAGGGAATCAAGGACTGTAAACAGCCTGATACTGATTTTCCCCAAAACCCTCCCCAAAAAAAGATTTTAAAGGGCACAATTCAAAATGTAAAACAGTGATAAGCAAGCATGTTTTAAAACATACCCAACAATTTTAATGGTCTTTCAGCAATCTGGTGTGAGCCCAGAGTAATCTAACTTTTTAAGAAAGCAAATCTTAATACAAATAAAAGTCTACGTATTTAAAACATGCCACGTTCTAAGAAAGGGGTCAGTTACAGATGCCCTATGTGGTTTATACGATACCAGGAACCTTACTATATAAAATCATGTTGCTAAGAGGTACACAGCTATTGGTATATAGTAAATCAGATGCATGAGAGAAAAAAAGGAAGAAAAAGACAGTATTAACAGTCATAGCATGAACTCACCAGAATCAACTTCACTTACTTCCAAACTGAGAGGGAGAGGCACTTTCCAGCATGGTACCTTTCCACCTGCACAAGGTCTCCCCACCGCTCTCGGATTAACATTAGAGTTTGGGAATGTAGCACTTCTAACTGAAGCGATAAGCAGAAAGAATCTGATGGGTCTCGTTAAGCAAACTTAATAAATCACTACAACAGCCAATGAAGTACAAGCAAACTTCATTTAACGAAAGCTTTATTTCCCCAAAAGCTGGCTATGAAAGAAATTTCTGGAATTATATTTCTCCGATGACATATACTAAAAAGTGTTACAATTTGTGGCATAATTTTAGAAAGAACTTTTATGTTTAATTTTGAACCAACATAAACAAACTGTAAGGTCCAGGTTGCCCGCTAATTCATCAGTTTAGAGAATATGAGTAGACCAAATAGCACTGGTGTTTTCCTCCAGGTTGTACTATTTCTAATTCATTTTTGTTTTTACCTGCAAAGTGAACAGTAAAATTTAAAATTTGGTTTATTACAAATGTATAATTATTCTTCACACTGACCTGTTCCCCAGCCCTGTTTCTACCCCCAAAAAGGAAGGGGGAGGAAGGAGTTGAGTCTGCTACAGTTCAGGATGGGGGAGGCAAATGGAAATGTGGGGGAGAGAGAGACACACAAATTCCTTACAAATATATGTCTCAAATTTCAAAAGGATACGTAGGCAGTTATACATGTCCTGAAGAGGTTTTTCATCAGCAAAGAGTCTAGACTGCACCAGCTGATGGATAAAGTTGATTTGCATACTATGAACCAAGGCTCGCCCATCTTCCATTGGCAGGAGAAAAGAAGGTGGTTAATCAGAAAAGTGTACAGATCATATTATAGTACCAACTAAGGAAGAGTATACTAACACTCAATTAAAAAAAAAAGAAGAAAGAAAAAAGAACTGAAGTTATCTATCGAAACCAGAGAACATTATACTTGAGAAACACTAAAGCCTCTACGGAGAGGTAGGTAGGTAGGCATGATCATCCTAACAGCTGCTTCAAACGACAGGATAAACTGCTAAAATTTATCATTCTGCAAGAATGTTTTTTCAGTAATATAAAAACACCAAGCATCTGAATTACTGTTTCTGATTTACCTCCTGTTTCCTTATCCTCAACTAGAATTTCTAGCTTGAGAAGACGCCATGGAACATCTGGATCATCTCCCATCACGGTCAAGGTGGCTTCAAATTCTCCCTCAACTCGAAACTTCACCCGGCCATTTGCTTTGAGAAGAAGAAAAACATTACTACTTGCTAGAAAACAAGCAGCTTCCTGCTAACCTAGAACGTTCAGTCTAACTTACAAGAAATTTTAAATAGCTTGGAAGTTCTTTCCTACGTGTCCAAAGAATTCAGTAGTTCCTGCATAAGCAATAGCCAAAGGCAGTTAACACTTCTAACATCAACTAACAATTTTCTCTTGAGGTGTAACTCTGGCGCCTCTTCTCTCCTCCCTGCTCCCAGCTTCACATACCAGCATTTTATCCCCAGGTACTAAAGAGAAAAATGATCGGGTTGACAAGTCACATATTTGAACACCACCTGAATTGCAAGCCAAAACCTCAAAATAGTACTTCTTCGAACGAAACCCTAAACACTGTTTAAAAAAAATTCTAACAAGTCAATTCTTTAAAAAAAACTAAATAAACTTCAGGTACATACCAACTGTAAGATTTGCTAACTGAGGAGGAAGATCTGTGGTCACAAGCCGATGTCTAAGAATCTGATTGAGCTGGTGAAGTGTGGCTTGTTTCTCAATCTTGGTAATTGGGTCTGGAGGAATAATTTTATCCTACAAAAAAAATTAAGTGATTTTAAAATAATGTTACAAAGAGACACAATCTTTACCTGTGCCGGTCTTAGCATAATATTTTTGTACTTTGCCCAAGAGAATCTCAACACTCATTTCTGCAGTCTACATCCAATAATAGTGACATGACCATTACTATCATGCTTTAGAATGCCAATGATTCCACCAGTCACCCAGCTAAGTCAGTAATACAACACGATCTTCTTCATGCTCTATTTATGAGACCAAGTTCATGTCACTAGATGACTTGCACCACTTCTTAAAAGTATAAAATACAATAGCACCAAGTCAGTAAACAACTACCACAACAGTACTTAAAAAAAACAACCTTCCAAAAAGCAACTAGCATGTAGTATTTTCACATCTGAAATAGATATAAGTTAATGTGCACATGTTTAACCTCACACACACATAGATTCATCCATTTTGATAGTTATTCACATTCTGGCCCTCAATTTATTTCAAAAAACCACAATTTTAGTTATAGAGAAACAAGTGAATTACATGAAATAATTGTTTTAAAAATAGAGAATAGTTGTTTTGTTGGTAACACAGTACACTTCATTGCCAAACCCTTCAACTTTTTTAAGAAGGGGAATGGTGAGCAATGCACTTACCCTAATGCAGGTGGGCAGTCGTGGGTAAGACCCAGTAGTCAGTACATCAATGGCATACGGGATGGCAAAACTAGGCAGGCGTGCATGGACTAGGGCGTCTCTAGCTAACGAGGCCAGGCGATCAGCAGTATCCACAAACAGGATGGCTTGCTGATCTAAAAAGCTTGAAATCATCTTTAAAGCAAAGGGTAAATATATTAAGCTTCATTGATAACAAGCTGCTTTGCACTTCAAATATCATTTATTCATTCCAAAGTAAACTTTGAGGGAATTAATAGTTTTCCACATTTTGAAACATTTCCTCAAGAAATTTCCCAGTAATGTGAAGATATATTTAATACATTTGTATCTGGCATTAAAAACAATAACTTTCTATCACTTTAAGTAAAAGGTCTTCCAATTTGTTTCTCCATCCTTAACATTACAAGTACATTATCAGAAGTTAGGAAAAATAAATAGAATAAAATGCTTTTTACTCTCAGACTTCTGGAGTTGGCTGGTAACAAAGTAGTTAAAAGCATGGACTCCTAGACCCAGACTGCCTTAGTCTCAATTTTAACTCTGCAACTTACTGTCCCAATAACCTTAGGCAAGTCACTTAACCTCTCTGGGCCTCAGTTTTTTCAACTGTGAAATGGAGATAATGATTTCCAACCTCGCAAGGTTGTTCTGAGGATTAAGAGCTAATGCATACAGGGTTGCCTAGGTGGCTTAGTCAGTTAAAGCGTCCAACTCTTGGTTTCGGCTTAGGTCATGATCTCCTGGGTCATGGGATGGAGCCCTGCATTGGACTCTGTGCTCAGCAGGGAATCTGCTTGAGATTCTCTCCCTCTGCTCCTCTCCCTACTTGAGTGCTCCCTCTCTCTCTCAAATAAATAAATCTTTTTTTAAAAAAAGAGTTAGTACATTACAAAACCTTCAGAACACTGCCCAGAACACATAAAATACTCCCTAAATGTTGCCTGTTATATGAAATCTAGGCCAACTTCATACCCCAAACAGAAATCCTTTCCATCAGTTCTCTATTGAATGCATTTCATAAGGGTACCTGAACTAGCAGAGTTCATCACGGAGCTGAAAACTACTTCCTTGAAACTTTTATCTTCTATTCTGGAGCAGTAATGTCTCTCATGTCCTTCAAATAGGGGAAGCCCATCCTATCTCCAAGCTAAACATCCCAAGTCACTTCATTTAGTCTGTATCTCCAAATTTCTGACTCACCACCCTCGTTCTGCTGCTTTGGAAATACTCCAATTTATCAGTGGTCAACTTAAAACATGGTATCCAGAATTAATACCACATCACACCCACAATTAATACCGGTACACAATGTCCTACATTTTCTCAGTATTTCCATACTCATTTTTATTATCTGATCTTCACAACTCTAGGAAATAGACAAAACCAGATAATGACTATCACCTTAGATATGAGAAAATTGAGACTTAGGTTAAGACACCTGCCCAAAGAAAGCCAACAATCAGAGAAACTGGAACCAAAAAATGTTTCTTCTCTTAGACTGCCCAGAAGTGCTACCTTGCATGACTACTAAAATGGATTTCTATCAATGACAACAACATTAACTTATTAGCAGCAATGACAGTGCTAACACACAGCAAGCTGGGAGTCCACTAAAAGGCCTTGATATTTTGTACGTGAATCTCTATCAAGCAAGGTCCTTTCTCCATCCTGAAACTAAAGCAGAACTGTAATCTGTCTGATTCTAACACATTAAAACCACTTGGATCCTACTTCTCTTAACCTTTTTTTTTAAGATTTAAATAAATCTTAAAATATTTGAGAGAGAGAGAGAGAGAGAGAAAGAGAGAGCACGAGCAGGAGGGACAGAGGGAAAGAGAGAGAGAGAGAGAATCTCAAGCAGACCCTGCACCGAGCGTGGAGCCTGATGCAGGCTCCATCCTATGACCCCAAGATCACTACCGGAGCCAAAACCAAGAGTCAGATGCTCAACCAACTGTGCCCTTACTTCTGAGCTGGTTTTTACTCAGATTTAGATCATCCGAAGTCTCCAATCCAGGTCACTGTAAAAATGCTTATCAGACCAAAGCCAAGGCCAAAGAATACCAAAGACCTCCTGGGAAGACCTGCATCAACCCTAGTGGGGTACTACAGTTCATCCGGCCCACATTGCTCCACCTTAAACGTGGGTAATTAATGAAACATTCTTGACACTACTCTGGCTCAATTCAAAATACACTAGCTTCAGTTATACTCCTTTGACTTAGAAATCTAATGAATAAACATCAAATTTTAGTTTTGAGTAACTTAGTTTTTAGTAAAACTATACAGGTCCCTAATGATCATCGCATTCCTTTTTTTTTTTTAAGCACTCACATGCCAGCTGTTAATATGGTTAATATTCTCCTTTCAAATTTAACTGAGCACTTCATAGACATTTCTCTAAGAAAAATACATAAATGGCCAAAAGCACATGAAAACATATTCGACATCACTGGTCCACAGAGAAATGCAAATCAAAACCACAACGAGATACCAGCTTCACACCTAATACGATGGCTAGAATCAAAATGTCAGACAATAACAAGTATCGGCATGGAAAAACTGGAACCCTCAAATATTGATGGTGGGAATGTAAAATGGTACAGCCATTTTGGGAGACAGTCTGGCAGTTCCTCAAGTGATTAAACATAGTCACCATATGACCCAACCATTCAATTCCTAGGCACATATGCAAGAGAAATGTCCATACAGAAACTTGCACATGAATATTTACAGCGACATTCATAACAGCCAAAAACTAGAAGCAACCTAAATGTCCACAAACTGATGATAAACAAAATATAGTAGATCCATACAATTCAACTATAAAAAGAAACGAAGTACTAACTACTACATGCTACAACATGAATGAACCTTGAAAACGTTATGCTAAGTGAAATAAGCCAGTTACAAAAGACCCCATATTATAATTCCATTTATATGAAATGTTCAGAGTAGGCAAATCTATTGACAACAGATTAATGCTTCCTTAGGGCTGGCGGGGGGCCACTTGGAGGTGACAGCAGAAGGCTACAAATTTTCTTTTTGAGATGATGACAATGTTCTAAAATTGACTGATGGTTGCACATATCTGAATATACTAAAAACCACTGAAATGTATACTTTAAATGGGTGAATTGTATGGTATATGAATTATATCTCAATAAAGCTGTTTTTTAAAAAGCTCCAGGAATGAGAGAGATTTTCTTTTTCTTAAATAAAACCTGATCGAGACTGTTTTACCATTAGAGTTATAAACTGTATTTATATATTATACACTGTTACACACTTAATATGTCTGGTATGGCTAAAGATCATTATCTATTAAGAATCTCAAATGAGACTAGGTAAATAATCACTAGGTTGAGAACAGAAGAATCAAAACATGAATAATCTTCTAATTCTCCAGTTGATGGACTTAATACCTGACATAAACACATCTGTGGTATCTACATTCACAAAACAAAAATACCAAAACTTTACATTAAGTTCAGTATGAGACTTTATTTAGAATGTGATTTATTTGAACAGCCAATTCAAAAAACTAATAAAAGAATGCTGAACTATGAATTAATGAAAGATGAATTACAATACGGCTCAATTTCAAAACCAAGAGTTTTGGATTTTCCTTGACATTATGTTACTGAAGCACAACTCAGTAGTATTAAACAGATAACTGAAATACCCATGATATGATTAGGGATTTAACACCAGGTTTGAAAGACTGAACACTTGGGATTTGATATACTTCAGTGACACCTAACTTTTCATTGCAAGTTTGAACATTTTTAAGAAAAGATTACCCCAAGTTAAGTAATTATTAAGAAAATACCCTAGGCTTTTCAAAAATATTATACCATGCTTCTTCATTTCAACCAAAATAGATTTACTACATTTGGTGTTCCCAAATTTCCAGAAAAATGAATTATAAAACTTTCTGATAAATAAGCTTGGTATAAGTCTGTTTATTAATATTTATAATCACAACTATCCTTCAAATGATGCTTTTCAGTGGACAAAAAAAAGACCTTCTGAATACAAACTTTAATTTCCCTATCATACCAACAGACAACAGATGAATCAAAGAACATTTTCCCCCATGAGAAAAACAATATATGGGGTACAAAATATTCTCCCTCTAAATAAATCTGTGATCGAGGCTGTATTTCAGAAGGATGACAGCTTACTCCTGTGGACAAAAGATATGTGGCTGGAATTTATCTTGGTAGAATTCTTCCAGCATTGTCACTAGCTTAGTTGGTAGAGCTGGAATTGAGTATCGACTTCAGTGAAAATTGGGTTTTATTTTTAACTTAAAAAAAATTATTATTCTAGCATTTACAATTCTCAACTTCTTCACAACCCCTTTTCTCCTTTCACTTTAGCAACTTTCACCTAGGCTCTGTGCCTAATGATGAGGAACCTAGTAGAACCGAGGACAGTGAATGCAGTGGCTACAATGGAGGGGAGAGGTCAGGAAATCACGTGCAGAAACACAACTGTGTCCTAGATTCCTTTCTGATGTGGGATTTTATGGAAGAGGCAAACCCTGATAGACTTGCAAATATAAAAGTACTATAAAAATAGTTTCAACTTAGCTTGTCAGGGTGCTAAAAAGAAATTTATTACATACCTCTATAATGACCAGGTGGCTGCTCATTTTAATTTGTAAACTTTAAGAGAATTTGAAAAGGACTCAAATAAAACTGAACCAATGTAATGCTGTTTTTCTGCCTTTGCTGATAAAAACTGATAAAAAATTTTTAATGTTATTACATAACTGAATGAAAAAAAAATATGAGCATCAGTGTTAAGCTTAGAGAATCTACCTACTTTCCAAATATAACTGACAGTGGCTAGAAGGTTACTTGGCTTTGTAGAGCTGACCTCAAAGTGAATAAATGCTCTCATTGTTTTAGGACTTTATTCACTTTATGAATGATTACTCTACCCTTTCCAATATGAAAGGGTAGTCTACTCTCTTTCCTTTCTCCTCACAGGAAGTGACCGAAGTAAAACAGAAGGGAGTAATCATGTGCCTCGTCTGTTAACACGGCACCATCCTCCCCAAGTTATGGGCTCATAACTTGGGTTTCTTTTCTTTTGGTTGGGGGGCAGGGGAGGCTGATTTTAGCATCTGTGGTACACTTCACTACATGTCACTCCTCTGAATTCAAGAGTGATTTAACAGACAAAGCCTATGAGCTTCTTGAGGGCAGGGGCTGTGCCTTTCTTAAATCTCATCTGCCATATCCTATGCCCTGTGCTCACTAAAGGGTTTGGAGAATCAGTAGATGCATAACAAACAGATAAATGCTGTTATCAGCTCTGTGGCCTTGAAGAAGCCATTTAGCTCCTAAGAACCTTATTCCCTCATCTGTAAAACAAGAAGAAAATACCAACTCTGCCATACTCAAGAGGGTTTTCAATAATCAATAGGCAAAATTCAAGGAAGTACTTTGCACACTCTAAGGAAGTGTACAAATGTAAAGCTATTTCCCCCCTGTAGTTTAAGTCTCATATTTAATGTCTTCTAGAGTAACGATGTCTCCAGATACGACCTAGTCTCTTTTCCTGCTTGGGTGATCAAATACTAAGTTTCTACAGAAATATATTACACATTTTCTTTAAGATTTCACTTATTTATTCGAGAGAGAAAGACAGCGAGAAAAAGCACCAGCGGGGGGCGGGGGGGAGGCAGAAGGAGAAGCAGGCTCCCCGCTGAGCAGGGAGCCCCGATGTGGGGCTTGATTCCAGGACCCCAGGATCATGACCTGAGCCAAAGGCAGATGCTTAACCAACTGAGCCAGCCAGATGCCCTTACACATTTTCGTACAGAAATAGGATTACTCACTTAAGTACTGTCTCTCAAAACAAATCAACAGATATAAATTAAAGCTAAAATTAGAAGCTATGTCTATTATAAATTGACATTCCAAAAAGTTATTTTATATAAAATAAAATCAAAAGTTTAACTCACCGCACATTTTTCCACCTTGCCAGCATTATTAGCCCATTTTACTAAAGCTAATAGTCGAACAAAGAGTTGACGTGTCCGGCTAGCAAACTGCACTATTTCTATTTTCCTATAAGATAAAACAATTATTAATGAACGAACATATTTGAAAAGAGTATTTCACAATTTATTTCATCTGGGCTAAAATATGAATCAATCTTTGTTTATAACCATTACAATAAAATGAACCGCCTAAGGTACTTACCTAAATATGAATTATTGTCACGTTTTGTATACTGCATGCATTTTTTTATTTTCTACTTCCGAGTAATAAATCCAAAAAAAATGTTTTAGCAATAAACCACCATCACATTTTAAAAATTAATTTTGTGTGACAATAAAAGTTGTTTACTGAACTATACCCAATTCACAGACATAAAAGTACAACGTAAAAGTTAACTAGGTCACAGAGAGGAACAAATTAAGAGTCAGGAATTTCATAATTAAGACTATGAGTTATGAATTTGCAACCTTTTTGTTACGAGAAAGGAACTGAAACAGATCTTTACCAAAGCTTGAAAGTGTCTCACTTCTACAAAAGCAAGGGCCCATTTCCCATCTTGCAAGAGCGTGATTTAAACACCTGAATAATCAAAGAACTATGCAACACTTTACCAAACTAATTTCAGTGACAAACTTAGATATTAAATCATCTAAACAAAGTTAAACTGAGCACTAAAAATAAAAGCTAGATGGTCTGTCTGTATCTATTTTTATGCTATATCCACTACGATGCTTATTCTCTCAATACTCATCAGTATTTTTATCATCTCATAAAGCCTTAAAAGCTTTGTCAGTATGTTAGCTAGACCTCTCAATTTCCTGACAGCTATAAAATTGAAAATCACTTTCGTAGTTTACTTTAAGATACTGAAAAATATATTCGACAGGCTGGGACTGATGACAGGACCCAGCAGGACATCAACCTCCCTCCAAGTGGACTCTGACCTATATTAATCTCAGTACAGCTGTTCAATGGACTACAGATCCAACCCACATCTCTGTATCTCACCAATAGCAACACCATGAGGCAATGCACCAAAATAAAAGCTTTTGTTGAAGTATAATCCTGACTGAGGACTACAGAGTCTAACTCCTAGCGAGAGCATGTGTGTGTAGCCCACAAAAAAACCTGAAAAGGCTTCCTTAAGATTCAGCCAGCAATATGATTATTGGTAATACAAAGAGAAGAAGCAAGGGCACAGATAAAATTAAGACTCCTTGCCAGTGTCTGTTAAGGATCTTAAGAGAGATAACAAGCAGAGCATCACAGGCAAGACTGGAGCACAGCAGAAATAGGAAATGTACATTAAGACCTGGCACCATCTCAGTGCTGGGAGCCCCAGTACTCAAACTCCAACTCAGCAATGACTTACAGAGCACGTGAGCCCTCTGCTCTTCTCCTAGAGCAAACATATCTGTCTATTATTAACTTGGTTCCCCAAATGATCTCCTGTACTGGAAAGCAAACACCCACCTTTGTAAACTATTGTAACATGACTTTTTTGACACCATGCAATCTCAAGTGATCAGCAGCATGAGTCAGTTTTTCAAGGCCCAGTTTCCCTTCCCACCCCAGAGTGGACAGAAGAAATCCGGATTTACATTTCCTTCCTTTAAAACTGACCAGCCAAACCATAACAAAAGTATGCTTCAACGGTCTCCCCCATCTCTACCTTTTTGATCCAATTCCCTCAGAAAGATAGCTGGTGGTGGGTGGGGGTGGGGAGTAGAGTCACTAATAAATCTTCCCTAGTGACTTGGTATTTAGGGAAAAAAAAATTAACCAAGGAGCATAAGAGTGCCAGAGACACAGTCAAGTAGCCTACATACTGTGGCCACAACTTAAACCTCCATTACAGGATTACTTTGAAACCTTAATTTATCTTGTTCCTTTGGCCTATGGGCACAGTGGTGTTTAGTTATGTCTTAAGCCCCAAACTCCAACTCAATCAAAATTCAACTGTGAAACAGCAATAGCAGTATGCAAATGTCAGTTCTCTAAAGACATCTAATAGCATCTTCATAGCAAACAGTAAATCAGCAGCCAACTTAAGTCAGTCTGTTCCTCAGCTTCTATTAAGTTCTATACCTTCTACATCTTCCTCTCCCCCTCAGGGACTTAACAACAAAGGTTTCTAGAACACAAGGTCCAGAGCTGGTCTACACCAAGAACTGTCAAGGATGAGGAAATCACATTTCCCAGGGTTCCCTAAACAAATGGTGTAAAACATCACCCTAGGTTCTCTGGACCTAGGTTTCCAATCCACAGCCCTACCCTTCATACACATCCACACACACTCACACTCTTTCTCACATACACTCTCATAGATATACCAACACAGACATAGATTTAAGTTTTTTTTCATACTCACCTTTCCACATCAGATTTCCTTGGCAGTCTAAGAGAAAAAAGAAAAACAAAAGAAATTGACTAAATATACACATACCTTCATCAAACTATGATAACAGTCTTTATTTCAATTCTATTACACACCTTAGTGTTTCAGAAAAACTAGATAAATAGCCACTACAGGCGTATGTAGCTACCTACTCCTTTTTACAAGTTTCTAGCAATATGGCTATAAGGGAAAAAACTAACAAAGGAACATTCCTCCCCCATTCAAGATGGTCCAAAAGGTATTGCATGAACCTCAAACATTTAAAAAGTTCAAGTCTTACATTAAACACACTACTATATCACAGAGTTAGAAAAGATATTCTTTTAAAACCAAAATAGACACGGATGCAGAATACTAGCTGCTAGCCTCCTTCTATCCAATGGAACCTTGCTTCCAAGAAATAATCTCTCCATGTTTTGTCAGAATGGGCAAAACTGGAAGCTAAGCACACAAAAGGACCAGTGTCAGCCAAGGGTTTTATGGTAATTATGATGTTGCATGGTGGTTAGATGTAAATGATTACTTTTAAGCTCCAGTAAGATTTTGATTTCTTTTTTGCTAGTACTCCAGTACAACAGCCAGCAACCAATGTCACTATTTTCCCTGTTAAATTATACCATTTAACACTCTCACATTCACTGATGCTTACAAAGGTCCTGATCTGCCTCCTGAATCACCACATTCTGGAAATCTCTGTCCCATGGCTCAAGATTCAAAGGCCTGAGCAACTCTAAAGCCTCCTCTACATCTAATTCCTTCTTGAAGAACACACACTGAGCTGCTTAGATTCTCTTCTCCCACCCACAGGCCACAGGTGCAGAAAAAATAAAACCAGAGTTCGAGGTACAAAGAGGGGAAACTATCAAAATGAGTTCTGGCCTGTAGTTAACAATAATTCTGAGAGTAGACAGTGTGACAGAAGTTGAAGTTATGATCCAGGTGATAAAGGAAACTAGGTACAAGCAGAAATTAAGGCCTTAGAAGACTGCAAGGAAAAACAACTACTGGCAAGTTCCTCTACATGTGAAAGCTCCCGAGAACACTCCCTTTGAGAAGCCACAACCCTCGTCCTCAAGGGAGGGAGAGAATGAGAACCTTGAATGCAGGTGTGTGCATAAGAGCCAGAGAGAAACAAAAGAGGAGAGCCTCTGGGGGTTGAGAGAACAGGAAACATTGTTCCAGCTCTTCCCACGTGCCCCAGAGATCCTGAAAGGATCATCTCATGTCAGAGACGGTATCATTTCCGGGACAAAGATTAGGCTTTGTTGTCTACATCCCTTTCCTCCCAATTCCTCCTAATCTATTTAAAATTCCTTTATGGATAACAAATTCACCATTTGGGGCAAAAGTCCTAAAATGCAAATTTTTGGAAGTAGCAGACACTTATTTACACTGAAGTGTAGTAAGACAAGTTTACATGACTGAGACCCTAGCATTTTCTTATTTTAATTAAAACAGGTTTAAAAAAAAAAAAAGGGTAGAACCTAATTCCCTAAGTCAAGGCAGAGTATAAACTCTTAGATGAGAGCATGCATGTTGGGGAGGAGGTGGGGGTAGACAAGCAGAAGGGGGGGAAAAAAAACACAGAAATCTGTGGCCAAAAACAAACCACTGAAATTGCCAAGGCGGTCCTTTTTACTTTCAATAGTTCACAAGCGAACATCAAATATGGCAGAAATAAGACTCTTATAAAGTAAACCTAGAACACTAGTTTTACATCAATAAATTGATTCTGACAGTTCCCACCTGGAACAAGGAAAAATATATGATTTAGGAACTCCAAGGTAAGTTCCTAAACTAATTTGGCTAGCACAAATCAAAAGAGAAAAGAGTTATTTTATATACCCAAGTATCAAGAGCAGGAATGTATTTTCCCATTAAATACTCCATGGTCTACAATGGCAATTCTAAAAATTCATTTGTTAATGTACTAAGTCAATATAATACTTAGTTAATCCCCAACTATGTGCCTAACTAGCCCAGGGAGCATAGCAAACAAAAATTCCCATCCTCAGGGAGCTTCCAGTGGGGAGGAAGTAGACAATAAATTAATGGTACCCAGTAGCGATAAGAAAAAAACAAAGCAGTGAGTAAAAAATAGACAGCAGGGGCAGAGTGCTTTTCATGCGTGGTCAGAGAAAGTCTTTCTGGTAAGTTCTATCTGAACAAAGACCTAAAGGAAATAGGAAAGCAAACCACACAGATTTCTGGGGGGAAAGCAAAGGCCCTAAGGTGGGAGTGTGCCTGGCACTATCAAAAAACATCAAGAAGGGTAGTGTGGCTGAAACAGAATAAGCAAAGAGGAGAGTATTAGGAAATGAGGATAAAGAGGGAAGGGGGAGAAGGCACAGACCGCACACATGTCCTGGTTTGCCCAAGATAGTCCTGGTTCGTGCCTGTTGCTCCGACATTATTTTTTTAAGATTTATTTATTTTAGAAAGAGAGAGAGCACGGGCAGGAGGGGCAGAGGGAGAGAAAGAATCTCAAGCAGACTCCTCACTGAGGATGGAGCTCGATCTCATGACCCTGAGATCACGACCTGAGTTAAAACCAACAGTCAGATGCTTAACTTACTGTGCCACCCAGGTGCGCCCAGCATTATTATTAAGAACACCACCTTTCATGCTCAAAAGTGTCCTGATCTGGACCATAAGTTTTACGGTCATTCCAAATACAGGTGACTATAAAACCTTTTAACCATAAGTGAGATGGAGAACCGCAGCAGAGTTGTGGGCAGAGAAGTTTTAAAAGGATCGTCCTGGCTATTTTATGGATGACAAAAACTGTAAAGGGGCAAGGGTAGCAGTTAGAGATATCAACTGGCAGACTACTGCAGTCAACATGGGAGAAGGATTCACACTTGATGGAAATGTTGAAAACTGGTCAGACTCTGAAGTCAGAGATGACAAGACTTGCTGATGTACTGGGTATGGGGTTGGAAGAAAGAGGAATTACTCCAAATTTTTGGCCTAAGCCACAACAGGAAGAATGGAGATACTCTTTAGTGAGACAGAAGAGGTTTGGGGGGGGGGGAATATATCAAGTGGAATTGACTGAAATGCCCATTAGGTATTTAAATGTAGGCATCTGGATATAGAGTCTGGAGTTCAGTGGAGGGGTCTCTGCTGGAGACAGAAGTATGGGAATCATCATCATAAAAAGGGTGCAGGATTAAAACTATACACTTATTCTACTGCAATAAAATAGACATTTCTTTGTAACTAAGTTGTAAAATAGGAAGAACACAATATAATTCAAAAAATTTCTAGAAATCCTCTATGAAAGAACAAATTATACAATCACTGATAGCAGTTTTCAGCATTTTTCCATAGCTATACACTGGGTAGGTGATCTTCACATATATATGAAATTTTTTCATAGACACTCTTAAATTTTCATGAAATCCAAAAATAATTGGTTCAGAGAAGTATATTACTTTAATAACACCTAATCATGACAGCTATTTAAGTTTCTCATTAGACAGGGAAGACTTTTTTCTGTTCCATTCAATAAAGTACCATATGTCAAAATTGAGTGAGAATGATGTTTTACAGGAATAAGTGGAACCTATTCTAACTCAGTCATCTGCAAACAAATATTTTAAGTCTCTGGTAACAAATTACTATGCCACTTTACAGCCTAATATCTACATATTAATGCATACAAATGAAAACACTGATCTGCAGTGTAACAACATAAAAGATAAAAACTAAATTAAGTAAAGACTTAAAATTCTTACTTTTTCTGAACCTGGATTTAAAATGTATAACAGTAATTAAGGTATATATACCCAATTTTTTTTTTAAAGACTTTATTTATTTGAGAGAGAGAGAATGAGAGTGAGTACATGAGAGGGGGGAGGGTCAGAGGGAGAAGCAAACTCCCCGCCGAGCAGGGAGCCCGATGCGGGACTCGATCCCGGGACTCCAGGATCATGACCTGAGCCGAAGGCAGTCGCTTAACCAACTGAGCCACCCAGGCGCCCCATACCCCCAAATTTTATAGTGTCTTTTCTTCACACACTGAGAATTAGTGTATTCTGATCCTATTTTGAAGGGATTAACAACCTAATCATGTCCCAAAGCATTTCATTGGTAACTTGATTTATAAACTCCTTACATACTCCAAGAGACAATAACAGAAGACCAGTTACAATAAATCTTTTACTTACACTAAATGCGTTAAGACTTCAAACACTCTCAAACATTTCAGGAAAAAACAAACAAACAAACCTTGGAATCCAAAATTTTGGATTATTTTATACACAATAGATCTCCTGAGTTCCAACTGTCAGAAGCAATTAAAACCTAAATTTAAAATGTACCCTCAAGACGCTGTAAAACAGATTTCCTGTCTTTGGGAATTCGAATATTATGTATTCCTAAACCCTAACCTGGGGCTTTCGGCTAAAAAGCTTCCAACCAAGGAATCAATAGGGTTCTACTGGCAACTCGAGCAAAAACCCCAAAAATGGGATTTTCAGTGAGTCTAACATACATAATTAACAAGTCTCCGTTGCTCCTCTCCAGAAAGACCCCAAATGCAAAGCTTTTCCTCCACCTCCACTGAGCCCCAAGAGTTCAGAAATTCTAGACTAAGTAGCCCAGAGGAAAGGAAAAAACAGCAGCCCCGTGGGGAGGTGCGAGCCTCTCTAAGCCGGTTGGGCGGGAAGCGATGCGGGGGGGGGGGGGGGTGCTCGGGAGCAGGCATGGGTTTCGCGGCACTTACAGGTCCGTCAACACCATGAGCTCGGAGTAGGCCCGGTGCAGAAGAAATTCGATGAGGGTACTCAGCCGGTAGCCCGGACTGGCGGCGGCTGCAGCGGCCGCCGCCACGGCGGCTCCGGGAGGAGGCGGCGCCGGGGCTGACGCGGGACCACCGGGGGCCCCGCCACCGCCTCCAGGCGGGACCAGCTGGTGGTTCTCCAGCTGCACTGGGGCCATGGCGGCGCAGGGCCGGGCTTGGCGCAGCGGCACAAGATGAAGCCCTCGAGCCTCCCAGGCGCTCGGTCACCGCGCCTAAGTGGGCGCGGGCAGAGTCGCCGCCGCCTACCGCCAGGCCGCCTCCGAACAGGAAGCCGTGCGCCGGCCGCGGAGGCCCGCCCCCATGTAGCGACGAGCCCGCCGGCCCCAGCGACTGGAGCGAGGGGCGGGGGGGAGGCGGGGGGAGGGGGGGAGGCGGGGAGGGCGGGGAAGCGGGGCGGCCTCCGCAGAGAAGCTGCGCCTCCGCCACCGATCAGAGTCCGCTTCGGCAAGCAGCCGCAGCGTCCATGTTGACGGCCCAAAGCGGAAGTCGTTAGGCAGAACGGAAGGGGAACCTGCAGGGGGACTTCCGACAGCAACCTGTGCTTTTTCTCCGGCAGTCCGGCGCCGTGACGCTTGGGGGCGCGTGGGAGTGAGGCGGGGCCGGCGCGCGGGCCTGGAAAGCGGAAGCGGGGGCCGCGCGTCGCCGGAAGCGGGTGTGGGGGCGGAGCCGGCTACGTCACCGCGAACGTCAGTAGTTGCCCCGCCCTTGCCGTCGCCGCCCTCCGGTGCTTAAAAGGCTCCAATTTACACTGAGGTATTTATCAGCGCTCCCCAGTGGGGCTCAAACGCTGCTGGGGAGGCTCCCTCCCAAGATGTTCGTGAGTTGTGGTTCTGGAATCGCGAAGAAATTGTAGCGGCTGTGGCCGCTCTTGTGGCTTCTCAGATCTTTGCTCCTCCCACAGTCTGCTCATGCGCCTTTCGTGGGATAGACGTTTCCGTCATTGTTTTTTTTTTTTTTCTTAACTGTGGGAAAAGATGTGAGAAAATACGATGGGGGGTAGGAGCAAGGCTGCTGGCAGAATAACTTCACTTTAATGGAGTTGGACATATGCCGCTCTCGTTACCGACCCCCAAATCCCGGGAGTTCTACCACAGAAACAGCCCTTAAATCCTCTACCGCTGGCTCTCACTCGGTTCTTGTCCCTGCTCTTGTTGTAGACGCCCTGCCCTCCCAGGGTTTTCAGTTCTTTTTCTATGTCCTACCTCCAGTTTTCCCCTTCAAAATCCACGTCTAGTATTTTGCTTCCTGCTTTAAATTGGTGATTCTCAACCCAGTCTGCGCGTTGGAATCGCGGGGCGTCGGGGGGCGGGGCTTTAAAAAATACTTATGCCACGCTCATAGATTCGGCTTTAAGTGGTCTGATGTGAGGTCTGGGTTCGAGGTTTTTAAAATCTTCCTTATGTGCAGCTAAGGTAGAAATCCACTGTTAAAAAGCGTCAATTGCTGCGACCCTTTTATGAAACATCCTTTTGCAGATTTCATATCTGTAACTCTTAGGTGTAGGAGATGCCCTTGTTCTTTAAGGTTAAAATACTCTTATTGTCCACTTGTGTGATTCTCAGTCATTCTTGAAGGCCATTCACCTGTAACCTTTGGAGTATAGTCGCTTGCTCCCTCTTTTGTGGCCTTCAAGCATATTTACACGCAGTATCATCATGGTACTCATCAAAATGCCTTAGGACTACTTACACCCCTTACAGGTGCAGTTGCTGGAGGGCACAGACTTATTCCTCCCTATGCAAGTTACCTCAGGGAACAAACATTTTTATGTTAGCTAGAATGGTACCATTTCTTTTGCAGTTGTTTTGATTTGTTTTATTGAAGTTCCCCCCCACACACACCTTTCTGAAAACTATTGACTTGAGTTAAAAAAAAGCCGGTGGTCACATACACAGGAAAGATAGGTGGTCCTACAAGATGGTCTTTAAGGTCTTTTCTAACTCAGATTCTGATTCTGTGTGATGTTGATAGGATTTTAACTCTGCCTTATTGCATATATTAAACAGTTACACAGCATGTATTTTGGTATACATTCTATTTGGCAATAAGGTTCTACCTAGAGACAGTACAACCAACTTGCAAATAAAAGAGAAAAATTAATTGGATGGGGTGGTTTTAGAATAGAGAAGACTTCACCCACATCCATCAAATTAGATTCTATTGAAATTTCTCTGTTTCAATAGATACCTTTAAAAATTGAAAAGTACTTGTTAAAAAGATATTCCAAAGGAAAACAGGGCAACGATCAAGGAATAGAACTGTGAGAGGTGCTATGCTTGAATTGTTGGCAATAAGGGAGGTAATATAAATGGAAGCTCCTCAAAGAGGTGATAGCCCACCTCCCAACCTGATAGTGTAGCCGCTAGACAAATACAGGAAGTGCTAGTGAAGAAATGAACGGGGAAGGAGAAAAAATATTAGCATGTTTGACTGAGTTACTAAAGGAATGACTCATCTGAATCACTTTTGGGAATCGTGTAATGTATAATTTTAAAGCCTACAGTACAATGTTTGGCACTGTAGTGTATATACATAATTCTTTCACATTTTTCAATTGTTCCCCTATTTGGTCATCACCAGATTCTGTCGCACTTCACATAGTTTCAGAACTAGCAGCATGATATTTCCTCGGCTCTTCAATTGACCCAAACACTTGACATCTTTCATGAAGTCAATCTGATTTTAATAAAAGAAATTGATTGCAAAATATGGAGAAATAAGAGAACATTTCCTTTTAAGCCCTCTTGATGGAAAAATGAAATTGTGATAAATATAGTTTCATTTTGAAGCATACAGCTGCCCCTCAGACACAAATGAATGGGAAAGAAATTAAAAAGTAATTTTTTCTTTCTTTTTATGAGATACTGCAGCCAGTTCCTCCAAAACAGAGAGCAAAAGCAGTAACTGCATTCATTCAAGAGATGCTCCGTTCATGGTAAAGTTGAGGAAAGGAACTCACAATACTGTGAGTATGGTCTGACCACCCTAGAAAAAAATGAGAAAACTTTAATTGTTTTGCCTGTAAAAGAAAACCCAAACTTCTTACTGTGGTCTCTAAAGCCATTAACAGAGTAACCCTTGCCTGCTTCTCCACCACTATCTCCTGCCACTCTTTCCTTCACTTACTATACCTGTAACCTCACTGGGTCTAATATGTGCTGTTTTCTACGGTGTTAGGGCTTGTCCACTGTTCCAAATATGGGAAGCACTTGTTTCCCAGCTCTTCACATGGCTAGCTTCTCATCCTTCTAGTATCAGCATAAATGAGAAAATCCTCAGGGAGGCCTCCCCTGAATATATGATATTAGGAATGTACAAGGAATTTCATTGCTCTATTGTAGAAGCCAAACCATGTGAATGATCTTAACTGTCTCAGTAGAAGAATGGCTAAGTAAATTACTGTATTTCTTTTTTTTTTTTTAAGATTTGTTGATTTTAGAGAGGGAGAGCACGTGCACTCATGAGCACGCCCTTGAGCAGGGGAAGGGGCAGAGGAAGAGGAAGAGAGAGAATCCTCAAGCAGACTCCCCGCTGTGTGTGGAGCCAACGCGGAACTCAGTGCCAGGACCCTGAGATCTGAAATCAGGAGTTGGCCGCTTAACCTGCTGAGCCACCCAGGTGCCCCAAATTACTGTATTTCTATGTAGCTGTTCAAATGAAGGAATTAGACCTACATGTACCAGTGTGGATACATCTCAAAAACAAAACTGAATGAAAACACCAATCTTTTTTGATACCATTTCTGTCCATTTTTATTTTTTAATTTTAGGGTTTTTTTTTTTAAGATTTTATTCATTTATTTGAGAGAGACAGACAGCAAGAGCAGGAACACAAGCAGGGGGAGTGGGAGAGGGAGAAGCAGGCTTCCGGCCGAGCAGGGAGCCCGATGCGGGACTTGATCCCACGACCGTGGGATCCTGACCTGAGCCGAAGGCAGATGCTTAACGACTGAGCCACCCGGGCGCCCCTGTTTTTTAATTTTTTTAAATTTAATTTAAATTCCAGTATAGTTAACATACACTATTATATTATTTTCAGGCGTACAGTATAGTGATTCAACAATTTTATACATTTTATATGAGCTCATTGTGACAAGTGCACTCCTTCCTCCCCGTCACTTATTTTATCCATCCCTCCCCCCCAACCACCTCTCCTCTGGTGACCATCAGTTTGTTCTCTATACTTGAGAGTCTGTTTCTTGCTTTGTCTCTCTCTTTCTCTCTTTTCTTCCTTCGCTCATTTGTTTTGTTTCTTCTGTCCATTTTTGAAGCACACAAAGTAACACTCTATAATTTCATATATTGTAGTCAAAGTAAAAAATGTAAATGAGGAGGACAGCACTTTCAGGATGGTAGTTACAGGCAGGGATGAGGGATGAGTGGTGCATTATTGGTTATTAGCTATTTGTTATATTTAATGGGTTTACGGAAGAAATACCTGAAGGTAATGTGACAATATTAATATCTATTAAATCTGGGTAGGGAGAGATGATTGTTAATATATTCTGTACTTTTCAGTATGTTTAAAGATTTCATAATTTGTTACAGTTTAAATTAAAGTGTTTCTATTAGTATAATTTACACAGGTTGCCATAACAAACCCCCAAATCTCAGTGACTTAACACAGTAAGAGTTTATTTCTCATGCTCACAAAGTTCAGGAAAGATGTACCTGATGGAGAGGCCCATACTACCCTAAGCTCTAAGTAATAACCCAGAGATTCAGGCTCCTACCTTGGGAAGCCATCACTCTAACCGGGAGATTTTTTTATGTCCACCCAAATTCCATTAGCCAGAATTAGTCACATGGCCCTTTTAAAGGCTAGGAGCTGGATCCATCCATGTTGTTTTAAATGGCAAAACCTTATTCTTTTTTATGCCTAGGTGATATTCCATTGTATATATACCACATCTTATTTATCCATTCATCTATCAATGAACACTTAGGTTACTTCCATAACTTGGTTATTATAAATAATGCTGCAGTGAGGGCCAGGGAGTGAGGGATGGGTGAAATAGGTGAAGGGGATTAAGAGGTACAAATTTCCAGTTATAAATTGCAGAGATGAAAAGTACAGCATAGGGAATGTAGTCAATAATAATATAATAATGTTATATGGAGACAGATGTTGACTACACTTACCGTGGGGAGCACAGCTTATTTTTTTTTTTTTTTTTTGATTTATTTATTTATTTGAGAGAGTGAGAATGAGAGAGAGAGAGTACATGAGAGGGGGGAGGGTTAGAGGGAGAAGCAGGCTCCTTGCCGAGCAGGGAGCCCGATGCGGGACTCGATCCCGGGACTCCAGGATCATGACCTGAGCTGAAGGCAGTGGCTTAACCAACTGAGCCACCCAGGCGCCCGGGAGCACAGCTTAATGTATAAAATTGTTAAATCACTATGTTGTGCCCCTGAAATTAATATAACATGGTATATCAACTATACTTCAATAATAAATTCTTTTTTTTAAGATTTTATTATTTATTTTAGAGAGTGGGGAGACGAGCAGAGGGAGAGGGACAAGCAGACTCTGCACTGAGTGCAGAGACAGATGCAGGGCTTGATCTCAGGACCCCGAGACCATGACCTGAACTGAAACCAACAGTCAAACACTCAACCAACTGAGCCACCCAGGCACCCCAATAATAAATTCTTTTTATTTTTTATTTATTATAAGATTTTATTTATTTATTTGACAGAGACACAGCGAGAAAGGGAACACAAGCAGGGGGAGTGGGAGAGGGAGAAGCAGGCTTCCTGCTGAGCAGGGAGTCCAACATGGGGCTCGATCCCAGGACCCTGGGATCCTGACCTGAGCCGAAGGCAGACGCTTAACGACTGAGCCACCCAGGCACCCCAATAAATTCTTTTTAAAATAAAGGCTAGGGAGCTGGGAAATACAGTCTTCTTGTGTGCCTAGGTAGAAAATGAAATGGTTTGGTGAATAAATAGCATTGTTTTTACCAGAAGATTAAAGTAGTCTTCTCTCTGTGTCTCTCTTTTTTTTTTTTTCCTTAGAACACAGCCTCTGAAATCAGACCACTTAGGTTAAAATCCTAGCTTGACCACTTACCATCTGAATGCTCTCCAGCAAGTTATTTCAATTCTTGGGTCTCAATTTCCTCATCTGTAATAATAGTATTTATCTCAGAGGATGATTGTGAAGAATTAATGAGTTAACATTTGCAAACAGTAAGTGATCTATAAATATTAACTATTACCATCATCATCACTTAGGAGTAATAATTCTTGCATTTGTTTTTTCACCTAATAACCTCTGAACTTACTGTCTTTTCCTATACTCATGTAGCTCTCTCTGATAGCCCCAGCACCTAGCATAGTGTGCCTAGCTATCTGGCTTTCATGAATGAATGGCACAGGTATATTCCTTCATCTGTACATTGTAGTTCTATTTATATTGCATTCCTTTATTTGGTATTAAGATTGATTTACATATATTTACATGTGAAATGAAGTGTCTAGGATTTCTATGAAAACACTCTGGGGAAAAAAGTGGGCAGAGGTAGATGAAATACGATTGGCAACATGTTGAGAATTATTAAAGTTGATGATGGATACATGGAAGTTCCTTATCCTCTATTCCTTCTCTTCTGTAGGTGTGAGAATATGCATAGTAAAAAGTTTTGAATAATTGAAAATGGGTAGTCAACTAAAGGTCCAGATTTTTTTCTTTCCTAATCAACAGCTTTTAAAAAATATATATATATAATATATGATAAATTAAATATATATTTAAGGGGCACCTGGGTGGCTCAGTCGGTTAAGTTCTGCCTTCGGCTCATGTCATGATCCTGGGGTCCTGGGATTGAGTCCCTCATCAGGCTCCCTGCTCAGCAGGCAGTCTGCTTCTCCTTCTCCCTCTGCAGCTCCCCCTGCTTGTGCTCCCTCTCTCTCTCTCTCTCTCTCTCTCTCTCTCAAATAAATAAGATCTTTAAAAATATATATGTATATTTAATATATATGTAATAAATATAATATGTAATATATGTGATAAATTGAGTATATATTTAATCTTTTGGATTTTTAAAAAACTTTATTTATTTGAGAGAGAGACAGAGAGAGCGTAAGCGGGAGGAGGAGCAGAGGGAGAGAGACAAGCAGACTCCCTGCTGAGCGGGGAGCCAGATATGGGGCTTGATCCCTGGACCCTGAGACCATGACCTCATCCTAAGTCAGACGCTTAACTGACTGAACTACCCAGGCACCCCATCTTTCAGATTTTTAAAACATTTGTGTAATTTATAGAGTGTTTAACATTAAAAAAACTACCAGGAAACCTAAAATTATACCTGCTTATAAAAGACATGAAAGTGTCAAATATTTTAACAACTTTGGTTTCAGGCCTTGAAATAAGAATGTTTGCAAGGAGCTCTAAAAACAAACAAACAAACAAAAACTTATCCAAATGTATAATCTTAAAAATTTCTAGCTGTGCTAAAATTCAATGTCTTTTTTTTCACCTTACAGTTACTTTTTAAAAAAATTTTGTGGTGAGAACATTTAAGATCTACTCTCTTAGCAACTTTCAAATATACAACACATGTTAACTATGGTCACCATGCTGTATACTAGATCCCCAGAACTTACTCATTTTATAACTGGAGGTTTATAACATTTGACTAACATCTCCCCATGTCCCCCACCCCAGCCCCTGGCAACCACCAATCTACTCTTTGTTTCTATGAGTTTGGCTTTTTTGGATTCCCACGTGTAAGTGTGACCATACAGTATGATCTTTGTCTTTCTATGTCTGACTTACTTTACTTAGCCTATTGCCATCAAAGTTTTATCCAAATGGCAGGGTTTCCTTCTTTTTTATGGCTGAATAATATTCCTGTGTGTGTGTATGTGCGTGTGTGTGTTTAGATAGATAAATAGATACCACATTTTTTTAATCCATTCATTCATCAGTAGACACTTAGGTTGTTTCCATGTCTTGGCTATTGTGAATAATGCCACAGTGAACATGGGGGTACAGATACCTCTTCGTAAAATTCATTATCTTTTAAATAACTGATTTCTAATGGGTGAACAAAGGAAAAAGAAATAGAAGGAAGAAGGAACCCATTTAGAATATAGTTATATTCTTCATTAAGAGATAAAAATCTGGGGCGCCTGGGTGGCTCAGTCGTTAAGCGTCTACCTTTGGCTCAGGTCATGATCCCAGGGTCCTGAGATCGAGCCCCGCATCGGGCTCTCTGCTCCACAGGAAGCCTGCTTCTCCTTCTCCCTCTGCCTCTGCTTGTGTTCCCTCTCTTGCTGTGTCTCTCTCTGTCAAATAAATAAATAAAATCTTTTTTAAAAAGAGAGAGATAAAAATCTTATCTTGCCTTCTTCTATCTTTGTTAGGGAAGAACCCCGCCCTCTGGATTGTTAGGAGTAAACCTGCCATCCATTGGTGCTAAAAGTAGACCATATGATCAGAGTGAGCCTCAGTGCAGCAGACAGCAGGGGCACCACCATGATAGCTCTGGTTCTTATGCCCCCAAGTCCTGTGGCATGATGTGATGGGCCCAGATGGAGACCCTGTGCTCAGTGAGCTGCATCATAACTGAGAAACCCTGGGGCCCACTTCAGTGCCTTAACTCTTAGCAGTCAGAATGAAACAAGATTGCACTGGTGAATGCGTGAGGAGAGAGCTGAGATGTCAGGCCCAGCTGAGCAGTCCTGCTTTTTTGTTAGGGTACCAGGCAGAGCTGAATAGCCCTGCCATCCTGAGGGTGTCCCGCACAGCAGAATAGTTCCAATGTGGCCAAGCCCAGATGAGTTCATAGCGCAGGGATGAGATGACAAACCCAGCAGCAGGGTCATAGTGTCACTTACAGCTGCTGCTTGACTCACATGAACCATGTGACTGTTTTGTGATGCTGCAGTGCTGGGTGAAGGGGACAGAGAAAGCATTCCATGTTCCCACTCCTTCCCCCCGAACACACACACACACACACCTTGTAGGGATGAAGGTATCCCATCATCAGGTATCAGGGTTATTGTTCCCTTTCCATGGCCACCTAGTTCATTTGGTCTAAGTCAGTAGCCACTACGTCTCTCTTCACTCAGCTAACTCCCACCTCCACCCAGACCTTCTTCCATTTCAGATGGGCACCATGGTAGAACTTGGTGGGACCGTGATGTCCCCTGTCATCAAGCAGGCCACTGGAGGGACACTCTAGGGCTCATGAATGTCACCAACTGATTGTTCTCCTCATGGTCAGTGCTCTTCCACCCCCAACAACTGAAACCAAGTTGTAGCAGAAGCAAAGACTGTAGTCACCTTCCCCCTGTGGTCTGACTGCCACCTTAAGATGAAACCAGCCAGGCTTCCCAGGCACTAGGACCAGAGGAGAAAAAAGAGGAGGGACTAGAGATTGTCCGGGTGGAATCATAAATATGGAGTACCCAGTCTCCCGTTGCTCCCACCCTTTCAGTACTGACCTTCTCTACTCAGCTGTTCCAAAGGATGTTCCCTTGGAAGCCTGATAAGCCATATGGCTGCATTCAGTCTCTCCTGGGTGTGGACCCTTTCTACAAGTGTCCACATGGGCTACATAGATGTCCTGTTGGGCTGTAGCAATGGCTTTTTCAAGTTCACAGCCCCACAGAGGGTTGTCTTTGCTGTACCAGTCAGTCGTCATCCGGGTGCCTGACCTGAGAGCTAGGGCATTAAGCCACAGCCCAAGAGTCAGGAAAAATATAACGTGGGTGGTCCTCAGCAGTACTGCCTAGGGCAAGAGTGATGGCTTTCAGTTTGGCCCATTGTACTGAACCAGTCCTTACCACATGTTTGGGGCTGGACAGCTGCTGCCGCCCAGGACACACCGTCAGCTTTTAGTTTGGCTGAGCCATCAGTAAGCCAAGCCCAAGCATCCTCAAGGACACTCTGCTAGTGGCTACGTAGCTGGAGGCTGCCCCTATGAGTGATCTAGGAGTGGGGGGCTACCATGGCCCCTAAAGTTGTGGCCACAATATCTTCAGGTGAGGAGGACACACCTATGGGACTAGGCGTGCCATTTTCATTAAATAAGAAAAGACTACTGTGCCTTTCTGACTCTGTTAGCATTGAGTAGAGCCAACCTAAGATGAGAATATCTAGGTGCAGTGTAACCCGGAGGTACTGGGTGAGATGCTCAGTCTCTCCAAGTGCCTGCCCAATAGCAGACCAGTAGCTGTTTTGCAAATGGAATGTCGTGGGTAGGTGTCAGGGTGGCAGCAAGTCCAGAACCCCCTGGGATGCCTCCGAGCAGAAGCAGGCTCCCTTTGCCAAAGGTGTACAACAAGGGTCCAAAAACCTAGACTCAGATGGTTACAGTTAATTCCCTTCCTCATATTCATTTCCAATTTTGGCCAGGTGAATGCATGGCTGTGAACGAGCACTGGTAATTGAGTGAGTCATAAAAATTTTTATCCTGCTTCCTTGCCCTCCCTTCACCTCACTGTGCCCTCATTAGAGATTAAGGCCTCTGGTCTGCCCTGGGAGTGGAGAAACCTCAACCCCCATCCTCAGTCCCCTTTCTCCTTAAAGGCAGTTAAATCAGAATACAGAGTTGACAGTCAAGCAGTAAAAGTGCCGAAGGAGGAATTTGTTGTAAGGCAGCCACTTGGCTTCTTAGTTCTTCCAGTAGAGAGAATGATTTCTGTGGAGGAGTCTGGTTTCATAGAGGCACTCCCCATTCCAGCTGGGTGGACAGCTCACTGTCTGCTGCCCCTCCTCCCATGGCTCAATATCCGGACCAAATTTCTTTGGTCCTCACCCTATCGATCTCCTCTGTGGGTAGCCCCTGCTTGAACAGCCATATCCACATTGCCTTATGGGTCCCTTTGAAGGGAGTTTGATATTCCCTTCCTAGTTTTGTCTTGCACTGCAGAGTCTTTGCCTTGTTTGGGCTGCCCATCTTTATCCCAGGCATTTTTTGGCTCAGTGTCATCACCGCCTACCACTGAGGGCCTCCAAGTACTAAAAGCAAAGATAGTGGGGTCTTCCACCCAACGTGGGGGTGGGGCAGACCACATCCTTTCAGCCATTCTCTGAAGTGAAGGGCTCATCATGGGGGCTTTCATTCTGTCCATTTTGTAGTCAGTCTGGAGCACCGACAGCACTCAGGCTCAGACATACCGGCCAGGTCTTCAACAGCTCTCCACTCATTAGCCAAAGTGGTCCCAGGTGTCCTCACCAC